ACCTGCTCGGGCCAGCCCAGTGGCCCCCCCGGCCTCCCCCTGGCCGCTGTGTCCTCGGCAGGGATGTCATGGCTCAGAGACAATGCAGCTTTGTGGGAGCCTCCGCTGCTCCCCCAAGCCCTGCCTCCTGAGACGTTACCTCATGTGGGCCAGGCCCCATGGGGTGGGCCCGCCCAGGAAGCAGGCCTGGGAGCTGATATGAGGCCGGGGAGGGGGAGTGGCCACTGCCACGATGCCCCGCCTGCCACTGAGCCCCAGGGTAATGGGCCTTAGATGCGGGGCCTGTCCCCAGCATGCAGGTAGGGAAACCGAGGCCCAGAGAGGGCCAGAGACCCGATTAGAGTCACACAGCAAATCCGGTGCCTCTCGCACGGAGCCGAGCCGCTCGGAGATGCAGGCGCTGAGCCAAGCCCTCCATCCACACAAGGTGGGTGGGTGGGGCAGGCACTGTGAGGGGCATCGAGGCAGTGGCTGGCCTTCCTGGGAGGAGGGGCTGAGGCCCTGGCGCCCAGAGCGCTGGGCGCGGAGCCCACAGGAGCCGTGGAGCTGGCTGTGGTTGGGCACAGGTGACAAGGGAGGCCTTGTACCGCCTCCAGGATCTTTGCTCCCGATTTCTGGTCCTGAGCGTGCCCTGTGTTGGGTACAAAGTCACAAGCGCTAATTGTCCTGGGCTGCAGCCAGCTTCCGGCTGAGCTGGCTGCCTGCGACGGGCGGCCTGGGGCAGAGGGAGCAGGCCCTGGGCACGGAACTTATCTGCCTTCTGGGTTGGGCCCAACAACAAGACGGCTGTTCGTGCCTGGCCAGGTGGGCATCCACGGGGCCTGCCCCTCGACCCAAGCTGAGGGGTCTGAGACGAGTCCCCCAGAGGCCGTGGGCGGGGCGGAGGGCAAACTCCAGTCTCAGACCCATCCCTTCTCTGTTGCCCTTGCCCTGACGCAGGCCCACCTCCCTGCCCACAGCCCCTCCTTGCCCTCAGCCTCCGGCTCTCGGTTCATGCCATGCGGCCTCTGCTGGGTGCCAGTTCCAACTTCGCGACTCCCGCAGGCGGAGTCGGGCGCTTTGGCAGGTGTAGGGCCTGCCACCAGCACCAGCTGAGCCCATTCCAGGCTCCAGTGCCCACCGCCGCCCCTGAAGCCCTCGTGTGTCTTAAACAGACGTGTCACCAGCCTGCGCTCCTGCCTGGAATGCCAGCCCTGCCCCTGCCCTTCTTCCTGCCCTTCACACACCAGCCTGCAGCCCCTCACAGCTCGAGTCCTGCCCTGCTCTGCCCTGCGGGGTCCTCATCACAGTCTGTTCTGTTGGCAGCTGGGACCTTGGCGGGGGTTGGAGTGCCCACGGTGGGCAGTCACTGAGCTGAGGCCAGTGCAGGTGAGGGTGACAGGAGTCGCAGGAGGTGTGACAGCCCAGCGCCCGCAGCTGGCACGGAGCCCCTCAGGAGGGACCTGCCTCCTCGCGGCCACGCAGACCTGCCTGGGCGGGTGTTGGGCTCACTAGGGAGTGTGTGAACTAGGAAATTCCCAGCCTGACCACAGCCTCCTGCGTCAGCGCTCCGGGGACCAGGCCGGTGTCTCCAACACGCCACCCTGGGGTGCTTGCCCAGAGGAGCCCAGGTCTCCTTCCAGGTGCCCCCCGCCCTTCCCTCAACTCTGGTTCTCAGCCGGCTCATCTGCCCTCCTGGGTCTGCCAGGCCCACCACTGGCTTTTCACTGCTGCCCCCGCAGATAGAGCTGCCTCCGTAGGAGGATTGGAGCCCGCATGGGCGTGCAGTGCCCAGGGGTCTGAGCCAGTCACACACCCAGAGGCCGTGGGCGGAGCCACAGACTCCACGGGGTGGGGCCTTCATGGCCAGAGTCCAGAGGTGGGCACGAGTGGCCTGGTCGTGGACTTGGGCAGGAGGCACTGCTCGTGACTCCTGGGGACCCCTCTCCTTCGTCTGGGTCTCCCCTACTCTTTACATCCCCCCACCCCACCCCCGCCTCTCAGGGCCTCTGGCTTGCTCCTGAGCCAGACAGTGCCGGCCGGCAAGGAGTGGGACTGAACCATGTGCAGAGCTGCTCCTGGGTACAGGCAGTGCGCCCTGGGTGAGCGGGCATCGGGGCAACAGAGACAGCATGTGAGAGGCGCCGGGAGAGGCCGCCCGCTGCCCGGCCTGGGAAGGCCACAGCTCGGCCGAGCGCCAGATCCAGACCCCATAGGGCAGGTCCCCTCCGCCCCCCTGCGCCGCCCCGCCGCCATGGGGACCTTCCTAAAGTGTGCCCCCATCTCCTCTCCAGACCCCCCGTTGGCCCCGCCCCCACCGGAGCAGCATTCCCCACGCCCGGCTGCAGGTCTGCAGGTCGTGTCCTGCCTGGGCGTGCTCTCTGACACCTTCAGGCCGTGCCCCACCCTCCTGCCCCACTCACATCCCAGCTCTTCCCGCCCTGGCTCCACACTGCAGTCCCACACCAGCTCCTTTCCCAGCCTCAGCCTCCCCGGCCCAGCTCCCCCACAGCCCCTGAAGCCCAGGCAGGGATTGCTGGGCCTCCCTCCGCGTGGTCAGTGCTGTGGTCATGTCATTCTGTCTCCTGTCCCCCCCAGAATCTCAGGGTGCGGAGCAGCGGGGGAACAGAGTTCTTCACAAGGTCAGCTACCAAGTTCAAGGGCGTCCTGGCCCAGAAGTTCATGTTCGTGGATGGAGACCGGGCCGTGTGTGGCTCCTACAGGTGACTTCTGGCTTTCTGGGGTGGGGAAGAGGTGGCTCTGGGTCCCAGCTAGTTTCTGCCCTTAATCCTGCCTTATGACACCTTGGTTATTCCGGTTCATTGGCCCCCAAACTGCTGAGGTGTGAGCTGGGCCAGGGCGTGCCCGCACACCACCCAGCTCTCCAGAAAGAGGCAGAGGAGGGCTTTTGTCTGAGACTTGTTCCAGCCTAGAGGTGTCACCAGCCTGGAGGTGGGGGGTGTGGCCAAGATGGGACGTGTGTGGCCCCGCTCTGCAAGCCCCACCAGCAGGGGCAGCAGGGTAGCGCTGCCTGCCGCCACTCAGAATGACACCAGGTGTCCAGGGCTGCTCTGGGCCCCAGGAGTGGCGTTTGGGGTGCTGTAACCCCAGAGGAGCGCAGGTGGGAGAGGGCTTGGTGGCAGTGACTTGCGCGAGGACCCAGGTCAGGTCTGACCCCGAGGCTGTGCCCCGTCCTCTGTCCCCTCACTTACCGGTCCTGCCCAGGGCCCCTCGGCCTGTGGGGTGCCTGAGGGCGCGGACACCCCA